ATTGCAGTGATTTCAAATTTACCTCCTAGAAAGTTGTATTTCTAATCCTGTTTCTGCCTTTCAGGAGCAATGAAAACGAATTACCTTAGATTTGTTTTTCATGTGCCAGACATGAGATTTCCTGAGTCATGTCTTCATCTAAACAACCTCAGATCTTCCATCATTTCCCTTATGTACAGCTTACAATCAATTTAATATTACCTTTTGTACACCCTGGTTTGTGAGACTAGAACTTCAATAGCTAACCCATATGCCATAAAATACATGTAACAAAACATTCATTCAATATACAAGGTAAATTGGGATGAAGATTTCCTGTAATTAGAATCTTTTACTTCTATTCTAGTAGTCTGTTTCTGTTATTGTTGCCTTTTTAATAAAATTACTTTATCACACTCTTACAGAAAAGGCTTTTTTGTCTCAAGCTTTTTTGGTCCTTGCCAATTAAATCCCCAAGCATTTTAAATACTATCCTGAGAAAAAAGAAGATGGTTCAGCACCCACCACAACTTTGTGGTGGGACATTCTCTTACTGAGTTATTTGATGCCCATGCGATGGGAATGCCCAAGATGCCCAAGACCTGCAAGACCTTTCGGTGTCTGTGAAATGTAACACTGAACACAACCCATAGCCTACCCCATCCTGCCTCAGATTTGAAAGTGGGAGCCTTCAAGAGTAGATGAGGAAAGAGGTGACCTCTTCTCTGTCCCTCTTTCCACCCTACCCAGGTACTCAAACAGTATCAGGCTAGATCTCTTATCTGGAGGGTGGAGAGGAGCAAGAGGAGCAAGACTCGACAGAGAAATACCAGGTGGCCTTGTGTTGGGGCTCAGCAAACAACACCCCAAAGTGCAGCCTCAGCAGCAGCATTACAAGCAAGTTTGTTTCTGACCTTCTCCTGCCCTCCTGTCTCTTCTCCCTCATCTTCCCAAGGCCCCATAGAAACTAAAACTCCTTTCCCCCAAGGCAGGTCATAGAAACCAGAGCCCCTTTCCCCCAAAGCCAGCCTAAAAATATGACTCTACCTTTCTTACCGCATTCCTGTGTAGAAACTGGTCACAAAGAAATGATTGGACCTCCCTTGTTTGACTGGGGGCCTAAGACCTCTGCATTCCGGAGAAGGAAGAATCTAGTCAGACAAGCCTTGCTGGGTTCCACACTCAGGCTATGAGCATCGGATCCTGCCCTTTTTGTCCAATCCTATTTTTACACAGCTGTCCATACTTTGTGGAACCTGAGTACAAAAATGGACAATTTTCCCTCGATATTTGGGTCTTCATTTGAAGACCCTGGTGGCTACACTTTAATAAATGTGTGTGCCTTTTCTCCTTCCCCTATGTACTTCTTCATATTCACCTGTCTTTTGCGAGTTGATTTTTCAGTGCATCTCAGAGGGCCATGGGGAATTGGCCCCTTGGCACCTCCACTGGAAGCGGAGATGCCAGCACCACACAATGTGGATCTTACTAGCGGTAGGAGAGATGTTTAGGCAACAGCCTTGGTCAGTGCCCACTTCCAATTCCTTGCACATACTTTCAAGTGGATGGCTGCCCATTTGCAACTCCTCACACACACATGTTCTAGTGGTTGGCTGTCCCCATCAGCTGGGTCAGTACTCACAGTTCAACCTTGAGGATTTCTCTCTCCAAATGGTGATATGACAAACATTTCTCAAGAAACAACACAAAACCAAGACCAACCAAAAACAAATTACCTTTTTTTTTTTTTAAACAGTCTTTATTTTTCCATTTTGGCTTATTTTTATAGTTCATGTTCTGAGAAAAGAAATTTTAAAGGTTATTGTTCTTGATTATTTTTCTGATTCACAGGACTAGTGGTTTACTTATTTCTTTTTCTATTTTCTACTTTTCTCTCACCATGGTCCTAGTTCACTCAACAAATCAGCTAGGCTGGGGAAGCCTACATTTACCACACACACCTAGCCTCAGGTTACTACTCACATTTCCAATTTCATTTAGTGCATTTCCAAGTCGATTAAAAACCCATGAGGCTAGGTGCGGTGGCACACACCTGTATTCCCAGCACTTTGGGAGGCAGAAGTGAGAGAATTGCCTGAGCTCAGGGATTCGAGACTAGCTTGGGAAATTTGGCAAGACATCGTCTCTACAATAAATTTAAAAAAATAAAATAAAATTAACAGGGCATGGTGATGTGCCTGTGCTTCTAACTAATTGGAAGGCTGAGGCAGAAAGATCACCTGAGCCCAGAAGGTCGAGGCTGTGATGGCCATAAGTGTGTCACTACACTCCAGTCTGGGAGACAGAGTGAGACTGACTCAAAAGAAAAACCCCACATGAAACAAAAAGTAATACCTCATTAGATATGGCATAACAATCATTTTTCAAAATTTAAAAATTGCACAGTATTTTGAATTACATTTTTAAAAATCGTGTGTTTTCAAAATTTTAAAAAGATTGCTTCCCAAAGACTACTTCGTTTTTTTAAAAAAGAAATGTTAATAAGTACTGTGTCGGGCTGTGGGCGGTGGCTCGACCTGTAGTCCCAGCTACGCGGGAGGTCGAGGCGGAAGGATCGCTTGACCTCCAGGAGGAAGAAGCTGCGGTAAGCCGTGAACGTGCCACTGCACTCCAGTCTGGGCGACAGCGTGAGACACTGATCCCATCAATAAATCAAATCAATCCATCCATCCGTCAATACTTCTGAGTTGCTTCACCTCTGACTCAATGGAAGCCTCCACGCTTCCGGGTCCTCCCGCCCAAGGGACGGCAGACCCCCAAGGCCAGCTCCCCACGGGCCAGAAGGGGGGCCCACGCAGGCGGGTGCTGGCGGGAAGGGTCATGCAGGCTGTTTTCCCGCCCCCTTCAATCCCCCA